ACGATATATATTAATGTGTTTTAACATCAAAATTTCTCACTAGATGATAATATTCGAGCATATAGCATTTACTATACATCATTACGTTATATTTCTAAGTTTTATTTTATTTAATTTGTTTATTAAGTATTAAAAACCTTTATAAATAACTTTAGAATAGTCCGAATTTACACATTATACGTGATCGTGCTGGTCCTGCGCGGAGTCACGCGCTGCGCAGCTACCCTAATTATTTAAATTTTTTTCTCTTATATAGCTATTTGAATTAATAATAAATTACACCTTTCTTTATCATATTAAATATTCAAGTCTAATCACTATCAATTTCTTACGTTCCTGGTTTCGCGCGATGACGTCGCGCAGCTATCTAGTTATATCATTTATCTCCGCTTTAGACGTCCCCTAATGCGGTATTTTACTCTTTCAACACGTATATCGGTTATTTGGTATTAGATATATCAATTCTCCCACAGTTTATTTCAACGATAAACAATTAGATGTTATAGGAATGCTTAATATAAGAATCGCTTGTCATTTCAAAATGGTTCAAAAATTTTATTAATTATAAAATTCATTTATATTTGGCGTAATCGGTCTGGTACTTGTAATTACCTTAATTCCTATCATTTAAGATCAACCCTTTTTATTTTATTGTAGTAAAGAAATTATGATGGAATACGAGCCGATTGTATTTGATTGATCAATTGCTTACCTTAGCTATAATTCGCTTATTAATCGCTTATGAAACTGTTTATGAAATCTCATAATACAGTAATTATAAATCATCACTGTGTTTAATTGTCTTAGCTGTAAATTAGCCGTAAAATATTTATAAATCATTACGTATATCACTAATTTTAATAATCACAATATTCCCATCAAAAATTTTCTCCCATATGGGTTTAACAAAAAGGTGAATCAAAAAAAAACTATTAATGCTTAAATTAATTATTTATATGCAGACAATAGCATTTATTTATGTTAATTCTAGTCACATTATTTTTATTTGGTGAAAATTAATTATTAATTTTGGTCAAAATTAAAATTTGAAAATCATCGGCCAAAATCACTTTAATGCAGGCCCGAAATCCGAGCTTTTATATAAAAGCATAACTTTAATCTAATTGCGAAATAATTTTAAGCTGATAATGCTAAGCTACAGTCGTTATTTATTATTATCTTTAATAGCATAAGCACATTTATTATTATAATTAAAAGCATCAGTTATCTGAAGAAGTATCAGGTGTATTAAATTCATCATCACGAGGTGCTTCACCAGTATCCACGCACATGTATGAACGGCCTCCATAATTAAGATTATTAATGTTGCTTTCTTTTTGAGTGACAATAAAAGTATTAGAATCTATGTATTTATCTTGACGTGATAAAAGCCAGGAGGTAAATTTACTGGCCAATAATATTCCCACGAGATTGTCATGCCTCTCACCCTAATAATACCAGAACTACCATCATCATCAAACACCCAATAAATATCTCCATAAAAACCTCCGTTCACCATATCGTAGGTATATGCAAGAGTTGACCTCTGACAATGTTGCTTGACTCAATTTGTATGTTATAAATTTCTAAAAAAATGGTAAGGAATTTAGTAAATAACTATAATCTTATGTAACCTATTATTAGAAACATAATTTTAAAACATACAAGCTGAAGTGAATTCAAGGATAAAGACAGCAAAGACAACGATAGATGTAAAAAAAACGAATCATTTTAAAATATGATTGAGTGATAACACTTAATATAAAGAGTATTAAAAGACGTTTGGGTAAAGAATGAGAGTAAATATTTGATAAAGGGAGTAAGGGTATAGCAGATGAATAAAGAGAGTAAAAGTATGAAATTGACTAGGGAGGATCAAGATCAGTCTATTTTTTGTTCTGTACGAAGTATTTATTTCTTTTGAAGCATAGACATTCGTACCTAAAATTACTGTTGCACGAATTGTTTGTATAGGCAATTGAAAAATTAAATGTTTGAAATTAACATTATAACCAGTGTTTAAAATTCAAATTTAAATTAATGTTCTTAAAAGAGCTTAATTTAAATTTTTAATGTTCTCAAAAAATTTTTAATGTTCACTATAGTGCTTTTAAAAGGTTGTAATAATTCTGATAACTCAAATTAAAAACCAACCCAAGACTCTATTCCTACTCGAGTCAAGTTATAATTATTGTAGTATTACTTGATTTTGTAAAATAATTTTATAATAATAGAATTATACAGTATCTAATGTCGCGGATATGGTGAAATTTAGGGGTCTCGATTTGAAAATATAAGCCCTACCAAAATCAACCTATACTCTTTTACTAATAACTTAACCCTAAATTCTAACTTAACTATAAAAAAAAGGCCGACAAAAAAGACTCCAAAAATTTTTAAAAATCGTACGTAAAATAGATCCAAATTTCACCATCATCCGATTTCACGATCATCCGTGACATCTAATACAAATTTATAGATACCAAAATACAACAAATTTGGGTTCAGGTCGACCCTAAACTCGAATTGAATAACCCTTTCGGAGCACTAGTTCATTATGTTGAATCATATTGAATATTTTTTTGAGAAAATTTTGAAAGATTAAAATGTTCTCAAATAAGAGAACTTTATCTTAATTAAATATAAATGTTCTTAAAAAAAATTGAATGTTCTTTGAGAACCATGAGAACATCAAATTTTAATCACTGATTATAACAATTATTTTGAGCGAAGCAGAGACTTTATTGTCATAAGCAGAAATTTGGTAACTATCTAAATAACTTTTTATATGTTTTAAAGTAGTTTTATAGAGTGTAATTTTTTACCAATAAAAAAACGTCTTAAAGCCCATCTGTAGCTTTAAAATGAATTATAAATAATTTACTCGTACATAACCAGTGAGAAACACGAGAACGAATTTTGCTTGCCTAGTTTTATAACAAAGTTTCTTTTCTGGAGCATGCGCTTATGTTGCACAATGTTTTGTATATAGAAAATCATATAGACCGATTTTGGCTTGCTTGTTTTGTAATTAAACTAGAACATGATCATGCGGGCGGTTTCGCCGCCCATAATATGCAAAGATAATAGTTTTGTTTGTTTTATCCTACCTTTTATTTTTGAAAGAAAATTTTCTTAGAATTTAATGCACCAATTTGGGCCCCTCTGGGGCCAAAGCTGGTGCATTAAATTTAAAGAATTTTCTTTCCGTCATTAGATGTTCCATCTTGAATTTAATGCACCAATTTGGGCCCCTCTTGGATCAAAGATGATGCATTAGATTTAAAGCATTTCCTTCCTGTCATTAAATGTTCCGTCTCGAATTTGATGCACCAATTTGGGCCCTTCGGGGCCAAAGTTGATGCATTAGATTCAAATCTGGTGCATTAAATTTAAATCTTTTATTTGTCATGTGAAACGATCATACTGTGATCCGTACAGCCGTAGGATTACAGTACTGATCCGAATCTAAATTGCTATTGGTAAATGCACATTTTAGAATGTGACGAAGCATGAAATTGATCTCCGCTGTGCAGATAGTACGTACGTTTGTTCAGAATATAATTTTATATATAATTTTTACTTTAAATCTGTGATTAATGTTTCAATTATTAATCCGTAAATAAGTTGTGTCTTGTTATCTATTGTTGTACAGTTGTTCATACAATATTTTCAAAATATTGCGCAATTAATATGTCTTGATTTAGGTTGACTGTAACACATCTTTGCGTATACGTATTGTATTATATCTGACATAGACTATTTAACAGCGGGTTTAACGTCTATTATACGTATTATGGTAAATATGGCGAAAGCCCAAGATTATGTAGAAAACAATTTTCCTAAAGATAGCAAAGTAATAAATGCTGCTAATAAGAATCTAGTTGGTTCATTAGATTTAAGAAAATACTCGAACTTAGAAGAATTAAATATTAGGGAAAATCAAATAACTAATTTAATTTTTTCTGATAGTAATACAAACATCATTAAAATTAAAGCTTTTAACAATCAATTAACTAACTTAAACTTCTTGAAAAGTTTGCCTAATCCTAAAAAAATAAGATGGTTGGGCCTTTTTCAAAATCAAATAAGCTCTTATAATTTGGATGTCTTGACTCCTTTCAT